AGAATGATTCTATAGGGTATCTGGTCCTTCTGGTCTCTAATAGGGTGATAGAATGATTCTATCCAGCCACTTGACACTCAAGGGGGACAACTGACTTACAAACAAATAAACTTAATTAAACACTGGCCAGACACTAAGTACTTTTTTAAATTTAACTAATTAACAAAATTACCCAAACTTAGAATATTTAAACAAATGATGAACAAATTTCCCCTCCCATTCCAAATGGTTTGACCCGCTGATTAGCCTGGAGCGACCAACTGAGGACAGCTGGAGCTCATTGCAGTTCTCCTCCAGCAGACCTAAAGGAAACTGGCAACTCAGAGAGGAAATTAATCAATTGCATCTTAACAAAAAACAACCTGACAAAGTTAACTAAATGTGTGCACTGCAAAAAGCTAACTTAAAGTCAGGCTAATGAAGATATATCAAATATACAACTCATTTTGAAAATTAAAAAAATATAAAAGATATACGTTAGCTATGCTAGTGATGCTATCAACAGCTTAGCGACAGAATGCGTTCTATGACCGCTATATAGCGGCCGCTAGCTTGTAGCAGCGGCTCAGAGGCCGGCAGCACAGCTCTAACCAGAGCCAAACCAGTGGGTCACAGTCCGGTGGTTTTTCGGTGCAACGCCAACCGTTTGAACACGGGTCGGCAGCTTCTAGTAGCTCCTCACAGAACAGCAATAGGCTGGTTCATGGTCCAACCAGAACTGGAGAGTTTCTCATCTGCTTCAGCAGGAAGGTTCACCAAACACTGCATTCAAACTGGTTTGAAACGCAGGAAAAGACCATCGCTACCTTCAGCTCCCTCTGAATCGTAGGCAGTGAACACAGACTCTTATCTGGAGGTTTTTTCAACTGAAAACCAGCGTATGTGTCTACCCTATCAAGGCCGCAGGACTGAGGCAGCTGAATGGAGTCGGCTGCTTAAGAAAACTCTGTTGCAGGGATGATCGTCATAAATTCTTACATTCTGCTAGCCCTGAAATGACCGTAGCAATGCTCTCTTTCATCTGCATGTCTAGTTTATCGTTGTAATGGAAACTAAACCATGACTAAGGAGCTAAATGCTAAAACCATCATGGCTGTATCGCCTTAAAGCACTTATTTAAACACTGATAAGAGACAAAGTCAGACTTCAGGCTCAGTGTTACTGAGCCTGAAGTCTGACTGACCTTTCTATGTGTCGATAGAAGCAACTAAACTAGAAACGGTTTAGTTGCACCGTGAATTAAAGCTGAATAGATTCTTTCATCTGATGCTTTTTTATGTCCTTGCAGTACTTCAAGAAACACCGGCGGCTGATACCAGAAAGGACCATCTGGAAATACTTTGTGCAGCTGTGCAGCGCCCTTGAGCATATGCATTCACGCAGAGTTATGCACCGCGGTAAAGAGCTGGACCTTAGTTTGTTCACTCATTCATTCATTCATTAATTCATTCATTCATTCATTATCATGGCTGCATAGTCAGTATAACTCCTCCTGTCTGACTCCATCTAGGTCAGCTGACCTTTTGCACACAGTGCTGCAAACAAACAGTAACACTTTACAAATCCCATCATTTATAAACAAAGAGGAGAGCATTTATTGATGATTAACAGATTATTCATGTTGGATGTTAATTTATAAACTGCATCTACACTATTAATAAAAGGTAAATAGATCATATATCTGTGCTATATTGGTTTAATGACATCGAGTAGCTTCTTGCCTAATCCTAATCTGACTGATTTATGTTAGATTAGCTCTAAGGCTAACATCAGTAATAATGATCTAATTACCTTTTATAAATGGTTTATATGTAATTTATAACTTAATCAAACATTAATAAACTGTTAATCATTAATAAATGGTGTGTTTAGTATTTATAAATGATGGTTTTGATGGTTATCTATATACAGTTTATCCAAACATGCATTTAACCCAATCAGTGAGGGACTCTGGCCTTGTTCATGAGGCGGGCTGCAGGTGGGAAGAAGCTGGTTTGTTGCAGCCTGTTCTGGTCCTGTTGGACTGCTGCCTCCTAACAGAGAGGAAGGTGAAACAGCCAGTGTTTTGGGGCCTCTGGGTCCTGGAGGTGTACAGTTTACCTGGTTACCTGGAACCATTACGGTTGAAGTGTTTCTACTGAAAGACGTGTTTGTTTGTTTGTGTGTAAGCAGATATCAAACCAGCCAACGTGTTTATAACAGCCTCAGGGGAGGTGAAGCTGGGAGATCTGGGATTAGGGCGATTCTTCAGCTCCAAAACCACAGCAGCTCATTCTTTAGGTGACGCACACATTGGTCCATCCATGCATGCTGTTCTTCTAAGATGCTTCTCTGAGCAGACATCAGCGTGGACCTCTCCTGTTCTCCTGCTTGCAGTGGGGACGCCGTACTACATGTCGCCGGAGCGGATCCATGAGAACGGATATAATTTCAAGTCGGATATCTGGTCCCTGGGGTGTCTTCTGTACGAGGTGAGCTCAGTGTGTGGACCCTGCAGCCTGAGACCTTCATCCTGGTAAGAACCAGAACAGCCGGTCCAGCTGATGGTGCTCCTTCCTGAGGTCCTTGAAAGCATCGCTACGTTCTGCTTTGGATTGATCTGAAGGGAGAGCAGCTTTATTTCACACAGTTAGGTTTTTTAAATCAAAAAGGATGAAAACACATTTAGTTTTACACAGAAAAATTAGTTATATAGTTTATCATCCAATCATCCATTTTATTTTTATTAATGTTACATTTAGAACATTAATATAAAAAGGATATTAAAACAAAACCAAAACAGAAGCCAGAAAAAATCAATAGAAACCAAGTATATATATAATGGCTTTAACAGGCAGCTGTAGAATCTCTTATTCCAATTATTTTCCAGTTTAAAGTCGTAGGGAAATTATATTTAAAAGTCAAATCATTCTGGCTTAAGCATTTGTGTAAATGTTCTCTTTATCAGACCA